ATGTGTGGATTTCCCATTTCAGGGTCACAACAAGTTCTTCTCTATCCTAACTTGATTTTTAAGCATATGAGTTTAATATAAGAACACTTTCTCTTTGTAAAAATCAAACTATAGAGTAAGGACAGAGCTCTTTGATATTCCTCCAAAGGTAACCATTGTTTGGTTTGTTTTTTAATTTGGTATATACTTTTCCACGATTTCTGTGTATTTAAGAATATGCACCCATGCAAATACCCATAGAAAATGGCATTGTTTTGTGCATATCCTAGAACAAACAATAAACTATTGTCCATATTCAGTTGCTACATAATTTCTTAGTTCAATAGTTTGTCCTGAAGACCTTTTGCTGGTAGAAATCTAGACTTACCTCGTTTTTAAGAATGGTTGCCTCGTACTCTGCAGTAGGGCTGCAGGATCTTTAGTTACTCCCCTGCTCCTGAGAGTTTATTTCCATTTCAGTTCACCTCTGCTGTAGCCAGTCCCAAAGTGAGCCTGCTTTTTGTGGCCGGGGGAGTTTGTTTTTCCAGGTGCCAGTGGTGGTTAGTTTCTATTGAGTCCTCTTTGGCTCTGTAAACCCCAGTCACAACTGAAAAAAGCATCCCATGGATCTTCATGATTATTGCTTAGCTTGAATGCGTTGCAGTTACTGTGCATTTTGAGTGTCTTCCAACGTAAGGCACTCATCTTCTAGCATGATATCAGATAATATTCTGAATGATCGATAGAATTTTCAATGGCTGATTTTTGGAAGATTGCTACAACTCTCTTTCTGCTCTGTCTTTGGAGGCTCTGCTGACTGAAGCTTGTCTAGCTGCTGATATGTGGAAACTGGTAGCATAGTTTCTAGCATCATAGTAACACACCATCATTGCAGGTGGACAAGCTGACTGATGACTGATAGTTTTCTAGGCTGGCTACTGTGGGGTTCTATGTGTTTTTGTTTTGTTTCCTTTTAGTAGATAGTGTTCTTCTTAGTTTTAGGTATGAGAAACTTTTCTCATGTATTTTTTAACTTTTTATTGTAAATTGAGCGAAAGTCTACAGAGCACATTTTGGTTTTCCATTTACCAACTCAAACACATTTTGTTTTATCGTAGTGATTGTAGTCTCCTTAATGTACTATTACTTATTCCACTTCCTGCCTGGGTTTCCTTGATCCATTTTGCCTTCTTTCCTAGCCCTACTGAACTTTGTCGGTGAGTAAAAGTTGAGAAGGCTGCCCTTTTGATCTCAAGTGGTTGATTATTTTCCTCATCTTTTAACTAACAGTTTTAGACTAATGATTTCTAAGATCTCCAGCTTCCAAGTAATTTACTTGAACATATATTTTAAAATATAATTAAGTAGTACCCCAAACTTCATTTAACTAACATGTGGAAAATTAAGTTGGAGATTGTAAAAATGAATATACATTTTTACTTAGGCACCTAAACTCTCAAGTCCAGTGCTGTGACTGAAATGAGAACATGATGAGATCAAACTCTGAGAACAATAAAACAGTTTTTGAAATCATGTCTAACCATAGGAAGTTAATACTCCAGGTCAGATTGCCCCTGGGCATGGGTTTTTCTCTAACAGGAATTTATCTTGTAAAAATATTTGCCATTGTTTCCAAAGGCCTACATGCATGTCTCTTCATTCATTTGATGAATGGTTTACTGAGTCCTTGTTATATATGAAACCCTTAACTACAGAAGTAGCCAGGCAGAGAGGTTGCCTATGTTGATCGTTGTATGTTGGGGTTCAGGACAGATGGAAAAATAGAAAAACAAATAAATACATTTATATGATGCTTTCTGGCATAGGTTAAGTGCTACAGCCAGAAGAACATATACATATGAACACTTGCACAAGTATTTATGTGCCTTTGAAAGCTAGGGGAAAATTAGAGGTAGCTTAAATGTTCACTAGAGACTTTATAAATAATTGATAGTGTATCTATTTATGTAAAGGATACACAGTGGCTCGTATGAAGAAGGATGTGGATGTGGATGTGTTATATACTTAGATGGATATCTACAGTATACAAGGGACTTCAAACTACTCATGGAAAAACGGTGTTAAAAAATTATAAAAGTTTCCCATGAACTTTTTGAAGTCTTCTCAGATTTTTGTGTGAGAAGATCACTGAGAGATTCGTCTGTACAGTATCCCACAGTGCACGAAGGCGTGTACCCTGTGTAGGGACGGGCTCAGGTGTGTCTGTGGGTTTTTATATGCATGGGAAAAAATCTGGAAGTTACCTTGATCAATGACATTCTCTTGGTTATATAGGGGATATAGAGTATAAGGAGTTGACCTTTTTTTTTATGCACTTTTGCACTTTATAAAAACAAACATTTTTTATGAGCTTAAATTACTCTTAACCAGAAAAGCATAATGAAGAGGGGAGACACTGAATAAAAATAAAATGCGGCACCTTTAAGGTATCAGCAATACGTATGAGGTGAAAAATTGTGTAACTTCACTTGAAATGCATCATTATTCAACAAATAGTTGTTGAGGGCTTGCTATGTGCTTCTAATATAACAGTCAGCGAGTTGACTTGACTTGATTTTCATAGTTGCTGTTGAGTTGTTTCTGACTCATAGCGATTCTGTCAGGTAAAGCAGAATTAGCCCATAGAATTTCCAAAGCTGTACATGTTTCTGTAGCAGAGTACCACATCTTTGTCCCTGAGGAGCAGCTAGTATGTTCTAACAACTATCTTTGTGCTTAGCAACCAAGTGCGTAACTACTGTGCCACCATTGAGCCTGATTGCAGCAGTAGGTAAGCATTAGTAAATAATGAAATGTTATGAGTTTTGATGGTAGAATATGTTATTATCAGGAACAGAACTGCAAAGTTAAATATCATTGTTGGGTGTTGGGGATGGTAGGTCAGTTTCAATGTAAGTAGGGTGATCTGGGAAGCCTCACAGGTAAATCTGAGTAACCACCTGAGAGAGAGCTGAGGAAGCAAGCCATCGGTTGTTATCTAAGGGAAGAGTAATCAGGCAGGGGAAACAGTAGTGTAAAGTTGGGCTTGGTGGAAGAATAGCAAGGAGGCCTGTGGGCTAAAGGCTAGGGATGTAGCTTTGGCACAATGGAAGGTATGATTAGAGTGGGTGAGGAGTTGATAATGGGATCAGAGGAGGAGGGGCCTACTAGATCCTTGTAGGAGGTCACAAGGATGTAATTTTTATCTAGGTGATATGGGAAGCTTTTGAAGGGTTTTGAACAAAGGTTTAACCTGTTCTGATGTATATTTTAATTGCATTCCCTATTGCTGTGTTCTATGTAGACTGAAGGGTGTGTAAAGTCTTGGGCAGGAGGAAAGCAGAGATATCAGATGAAGATTGTAATATTCCTCTTCCAAGTGTAACTGTAGAGCTTGGGAAGTAGTCAGATTCTGGAAATCTTTTTAAGGTCAGAGCCCATAGATTTTATCAGGTGTCACATGTGAGAAAAAGCAACTGCTGAGTTAAATTTGGTCTAAGCCTTAGGACTTTGGAAGGGTAGAGCTTCTGTTAAAGGATGTCAGTAGTAGCACTGTGGGTTAATGCTCTGGACTGCAAACTTGGTTTGAACCGCAAGATAGGTAGTTCAAGTTCACCAGCTACTCCTCAGAAACCCTATCCAGAGTTGCTATGGCTCAAAACCGACTCAACACCACTAACAACAATAGATTGAAAGGAGTCCTGGTGTGGTGCTGTACGATAAGCACTCAACAAGGCCGGTTTGAACCACAAGGTCTTTGGTTCGAACCACCAGTCACTCCTTGGAAATCCTATGCAGGATTGCTATGAGTCAGAGCTGACTCGATGATACTTAACAACAATAATTGCACAGAATAGTAGTGGGCCAAATATAGATATTTAAAAGTAAAATTAACAACAGCAGCATAGATTGAAACTTTATGGAACCCAGCTGGTCTCTGATGACAACATGGAGTCGCTGTAATTTGGCGTCACCTGACGATGATTGCTTGGTTGGTTTGGGAGGTGGAGCACATATGATCTGAATAGACAAATCAATCCCTTGTGCTTCGGCAATCTATAAGCCTTCATGTGGAGACATCTAGTAATCAGTTGTGAGGCTGGAGTTCTGAGATGAGGCCTGGGCTGGAAATATTAATAACATTCAAAACTATGAGACGAAATGAGACAATCTGAAAGGAAATGTAGATCGAGACTCTAAGTCTCTAAACAGTCATTGACGAGTGGGAGTGTTGTCTGTGGGAGTATATTTTTAGAGCATAAAAGAAGTCATCAAGGAATAGACGAGGGGACTTCCAAAAGTTTTTGGAAAAATGGAATGAAAAGATAATGAGACTTTTAGTGTGTAAGGGGAAGGTAGACTCCCCACTAAGTAGTTTTCATCTTGCCTAGACAGGTCTGGTGAAAAGAGATGTGGATAAGATTCTTATGATTCAGTAGTGAGTAATTGTGACTGTCACAACTGTCAAGGTGGACCTTTTGTAATAAAAAGGGGGAAGTAGTTAATCTTACAGTCCAGGAACAGAGGACCCTAGAGCCATCAAGGGAGAAGAGCATGAGTGGAATGTGGGACCCTATACAGAGAAGAAAGACCACCAGTGATGGAGACAGAGATGAGGACGTGGAGGGAAGGAGCAACTGAGGACTCTGGACTCATGGAAAGAGAAAGGCTGTGTGATGGGGGCGAAGAGGCAGACTTTCAGAATGTGCCCTTTGGTTGTTTAAATGATTTTATATTCCTGAGTGCTTTTGTGTACATCCACCCCTATAAAACAAACAAACAAACAAAAAAAAACACACCCAGAGTGAGTAGAGGCAAATACTGTTGAATGATGATGCATGGAGGAGACTATAATCATTGCAATGAAACAATGAGTGTAAACCCAATGTTTTCCTATGTAAACTATCACTCAGTTACTCAATTCACAATAAAAACTTAACAACAACAAAAAAATTCAACAGGGCTCCATTTATATAGAGTACACTTATTTTTTCCCCTCCCTCTTTTACTGGGTGTTCCTTTGCCTTTATGTCTGCTGTGGGTTAGACCGTCCAGAAGTATCTGCCAAAATGTTTAATGATTTCTCATGGCACCAGTGGGTTACTTGAGTTCCCGCATAGAGGTAAGATGTGACTTTCAAGTTTGAAGAATGCCCTTGGACCCTTAAGTAAACAACTCAGAGTTGATAGACACATAAATCTGTAAGACAAAATAAACCAATTTTTTGTAATTAAAAAAAAAAGATGGGACTTTTCCATGAACTTTTTGAAGCCCTCTCGTGTAAGTCATTTAACAGTAGTAGTGTCTGAGGTTATATGAGACTTTTATTCCACCTTTCACTTTATATATTTTGGTATTTGAATTTTTGTGGTAAGTTTGGTAAAACCAAGGGAAAAGATACATTGCTTTAGAGTTTTGGAAGCGGCTTAGAAGTTAGGTGGTCCAAAACTCCTTCTTTCAAGCTATTGACAATCACTTGATCTTTTAATTTTATAAAAGACGAATAAGAATTAGTATTATATATGACTGCTTTGGAGTCCTGGTGTGGCCCCGGACTGCTAATCACAAAGTCAGCAGTTCAAACCCACCAGCCACAACTCTGAAACTCCATACATCTTTGCTCTGAGTTGGAACTGATTCTAATGCACTTAACAACAGCAATGACAATTACTAATTTAATTATAGAAACAATCACTCAATCATGATAATTCAGTTTATACTGATAAAAAATGGTATGATTTTGTAGTATTGTTCCTCTAAGTGTACAGAATGGTGTGGCACTATAGGGTAAGCACTGTACCACAAGGTAAGTTTGAACCATAAGATCTGTGGTTCAAATTCAATAGCCACTCCTCAGAAACCCTACACAGGGTCGCTATGAGTCAGAACCGACTCTGTGGCTCTTAACAACAGCAACAACACGTGTACAGAATACTAGTACATCAAATATAGGCATTTAAAAGTAAAACATGCACTTCAACCCAATGTATTACATTTGAATTATTTGAAATTTATTTGCTCGACTAGATAAATTAGACACATTTATCCTCACATGCCTTACGATTCAATCATTCCCTCAGTAGATGTTAAAGTATTTGAACAGACTCGTACAGCTGGATTTTAGAAATAGAAATCAGGTAAATCAGGATGCATGGCATTTAAAAAATATATAGATTTAACTTTTAGGGTTGTGCTATCCAATACAGTAGCCACCAGCCCTGTGTGCCAATTAAACACTTGACATATGGCTAGTTCAAGTTGTGATGTACTGTAAGGATAAACTGTTGGTGTTAGATGTCGTTAGGTGTCATTAGTCGATTCAGAGTGACCTTATGTGCAGCAGAATGAACCACTGACCAGGTCCCATGTGATGTTCACTGGCCTTGAACCCATTGGTGTATCCATTGTGTCAGTGCACCTCATGATGGGTTCTTCCTCTCATTCACTGACCCTCGGCTATACCAAACATGATGTTCTTCAACTGAAGACTAGCGCTTCCTGTTCACATGTTCAAAGTACATGATACAAAGTCTTAACTACCTTCCTACAAAGGAGCATTCTGGCTATACTTCTTCTGAGATAGGTTTGTTCATTCATCTGGCTCTATATTGTAGATTGAATATTCTTTGCCTACACTGTAATTCAGTCTCATCAATTCTTCTTCAGTCTTCCTTATTCATTATCTACCTTTCACATGTCATATGAAGGGATTGATCATACCAAGTTATGGGTCAGACACACCTTAGACTTCAAGGTGAAATCTTTGTTTCTTAGCACTTTCAAAGGGTCTTTTTGCAGCAGATCTGTACAATGCAATACGTCCTTTGATTTCTTGACAGCTGCTTCCATGAGTATTAACTTTGGATCCAAGTAAAATGAAATCCCTGACAACTTCAGTATTTTCTCCATTTATCATGATGTTGCTTATTGGTCCAATTGTGAGGGGTTTTGTTTTCTTTGTGTACTTGATATTGAAACTTAATGTGAAGAAGGCAAACTGTTTAAATTGTCATTTTTATATTGTTTGCAAGTTGAAACAATAACATTTTGGATATATTTGATTAAGTAATTTAAGTTAACCTCTTTACTTTTAAAATGTTGCTACCAGAGAATTTAAAATTGTGTCTGTAACTTGTACCATATTTCTTTTGGACAGTGGTGGTCTAAAGCAGGGTTTGTTGTATGGTCCCTGAACTAAGAAGGTTTGTTACATTTTTAAATGGTTGGGATGAACTCAACAGAAAAGTAATGCATGACACATAAAAATTGTTTGCAATTAAAATTTCAGCATCATAAATAAATTCTAATACTTCTTATTAGAAGAATTGATTGCAAACACTAGACTGTCCTGAAAAAAATGGTGGAAATTGCTTTTGTTACTTGTTATTGTAAATACCTACATAATATTCTCTATGGTGCCACTTGGCCTATTAAGCCAACAATACTATCTCGTCTTTTGCAGAAAGATTTTGCTGACTTCAAATTAGAGAGTCAATGTTTGAGTTCTGACTGTTCACTTTTTTTGGCCTTAATATCTCCAAGGTGTTTTTGTCATGTCTAACTGAGGATTGTAATTTGGATTTCAGTTTTGTTATAGGATCAAATAGAGTTCTGGTGTGGAGCTGTTGAATAAGCACTGGGCTGCTCACCCCACAGTCAGCAGTATAAACTCACCAGCTACTCCTTGGAGACCATATGCAGGGTAGCTATGATTTGGGACTGACTTGATGGCACTTAAGAACTGAGGATCAAATAAGGAGAATTTTTTTTTACTCAAAAGACTTTGTAAACATTCAAGTTCTATACAAGCGTCGCTCAGGGTTTAAAGTCCCTTAACCTCAGTACCAAGAACATGTTAAAAATGGAGGAACAAATATGTTCAGGCTTTCATTGTCGTGACCTGGTGAAGTTAATATTCAGATGCCTTTAATGAGATGTGCTAAATGTGGGTTTGTGGCACGGTTACTAATAGCCGTTTCCTGTGCTCTTTTCTTGAAGTTGAACGAAGGAGAAGATTTAACATAAATGACCGCATTAAAGAACTAGGTACTTTGATTCCCAAGTCAAATGATCCGTGAGTACAATTGCTTGTTAATCTGCATCATATATTTTTTTCATACCTTAATGTTATTTTTGTCGTATGTTGCAAAAAATGCTCAGTTATAGAAAGCTATAATAAGGAATCTCCCTTAGTTCTTTTGATTCCTAAGTAATTGTTACGTCTTTCTTTTGTTGAGTATCATTGAGTGAAAATTTCAAGGGAAATGCACTGTATGGTATAAAAGGGCTATTGGATAGGATGTGTTTATCTTTGTGTGAAGGGGTACTTTTCCAGGATTCGGAAATCCTTGGCAAATAAATACTGAGGTACTTAAAAAAATGCAACAGTTAACATAGTACAGAGAGTCCAGTCGCTGTGAAAGCAAGATTTGTTGTCTGTTTGCTCTTCAAGAATAGGAGCTATAAGCATTGATGAGCAGATATTGGAAACTGAGTTTAACAATATTTAATAGATTAAAAGTCAAGTGTCTTTATGAAAACTTACATGACATGCTCTTTTGTCTGTTTTACCATCAAGGAAGAAAAAAAGAAAAAAGTGTTAATCCTTTTGTGCCGTCAGGCCAATTAATTTTGATTTTAACTTTTGGTGGTGCCCCTGCCCCCATTTCAGGGATAAGAGGGGTACAGATCATTTTCTCATGCCTCCCATGCCAGCCTTAAGGTTACCTGCAACGTCAGCACATAGGACAACAAATACATAATTTTAGCCATTAGAAATTGGCCCACTTAAAGTCAGGAGCTTGGGGATATATATACTTTAATGACCCCCACAGGCCTTTTATGAAATTAGCCTTTGAATATGACCTTTTAGCTACCTAATAAAATGTAAAGATGAAATCAAGCATTATCCATGCAAGGCTTATTAAATTTGCTATTCACATTATTGTCAGAGAATTTGTGACCAAAAAAAAAAAAAAAAATATATATATATATATATATATAAAACCATTGCCCGTTATGAGGTGGTTTTGATAAATCTTCAAGCACAATTTCCATCTTCAACATTTTGCTCTCCCAGTTTCAAGGAAAGCCATTTTGAAACTCCAAACATTGAAATTCTCAGTTCTGCAGTGCAAATTTATCCTACTAAAGGGCTGTGACCTTCATTTCCTACAGTCAGTCTTGCATGATAGTTGAAATTGAATTCCCATTTTCCTGTTCTTTATCAGCTTTCACTTTTTAGCATATTCTTTTAAACTGTAGCATGTGAATCTCTTTAGCAACATATTATGAAATTATGGAGCTGCAGTGAAAGCCTGTATTTGCATATCTTCTCTCGCCATTGTATTGGGATAGTTATGTGTTTATAATCTGAACCGATAATGATCTTTAATTGTAGGTATTGTTTTAAGATAAAATGGACTGTATCTGAATGATGGTTTTTCCATGCTCGGTTTCTGTAGCATGCTTTGGGGCTGCGATACAGACCCAGTCTAACTGAGTAGGGTCTCAGCCCCATGTGCCCTCCTCCCCCAGGGAAAGCCTGCTTCTATTGATTTTGTATATTGGGGATCTGAGAACACTTTTATTTGAAGAAAAAAAAAATTTTTTTTATGTTCCTTTTCATTAAAAAAAAAAAAAAAGTTAGCAAATCTTCCCTTTAAGCCCACAAGTATAATTGATTGATTGGATCTTGGAAGGAAACAAAACTCAAGTGAATTGATTGAAATAGCCATTTCATAAAAACTTGTTCTAATACTAGTTCACACCTTATTGGCCTAATTGGGACATTCTTCCTTATAATTGCGTTTCTCTGTGGCTGCCTACGACTTTGATCTCAGCCTTGAACATTAAGTTTGCGGTAAACTTTCCCTACCTGCCCCCACTGTCTCACCCACTCCCCAGCCAGTAGCTCAGGACACCTCCCTGAGCTGCCATTTTTGGTGCTCAGTCCCCAGGTGTTAGCATCAGAGAATTCTCGGGGCACAATACCTCTGCTTCTCTTGGGAGACTTTCTGTTTTGTTCTTCATCTAACCCATGTGAGGATCAATTACTTGGCTTCTTTTAATGGTACTCCATTTGCCTGTCCCACCTGATACTTCAGATCTGCTCATAGTATCTGTAGATAATGGTGTACATGTGTCTCCAGACATTGAATTGTGTTCCTGCTCATCATTGTCATATGGTCATGATTATTTGTCGGTAGGAGGGCTCTGATTAATTAAAACACAATGTAGGAACATGTTGCACTAGTAAGCAGTTACGATTCATTCTGAATAGCTAGTTTTCTGGGATGCTTTAAGTTTTTTAAAGGGCTTTTAACTAAGGAGCTCTGGTAGCGTAGTGGTTACGAATTGGGCTGTGAATTGCAAGGTCAGCAGTTCGAAACTACCAACTCCTCCTCAGGAGAAAGATGAGGCTTTCTGCTCCTGTCAAGATTTACATCCTTGAAAACCCTGCTTAGGGTCGCTATGGGTCAGAACTGACTCGATGATGCTTAATAACAACAGCAAACTATGTTTTACTGGCATTCCTCATTGGCTCATATATGAGTGCATCTTTGCTCTAGGGACTATGAACTGAGAGGCACCTAGATTGGCATACCTGGGTTTAAATTCCAAACAAGCTCCATACGAGGTTGTATAATCTTGGGGATTCTTGTACTTCATTTTTCTCCTTTTTTTTTTTTCTTTTTCAAGGATACCAGCATGTTCCAACTTAGTCTGGTTTTATCTTGAAGAGTCAGTCTTATAATGTAGAGAATAGAATAGCAACTTGTTGCATAGACTTTGGAGCTGGATTGCTTAGATTCCCAACTCTACCACTTCCTAGCTGTGAGATATTAAGCAAATTACTTACCCTCTCTGTTCTTTGTTTCCCTGTATGTGAAATGTAGTTGCTATTAATACTTACCCACTGAAATCATCATGATAGAATGAATTGTAAAACACTTGTAAGTGTATCTAGCTCATAATAAATGCTACTTAAAGATACTTAGTGTAATTATTATGTTGAACCCTTAGCACACAATACCTGCTCCATTATGTGCTTTAAACTTTTTACAGCATATTTACATAAAATATCTCCTTTGATTCTAAGAGCATAACTTGTTATTGTTATTAAGTGCCATTTAGTTGGTTCCAGCCCATAATAACCCTGTATAGGGTTTCTTAGGAGCGGCTGGTAGGTTTGAACTGCCAACCTTGTGGTTCAAGCTGACCTTGCAGTCCAGTGCATTATATCAGGATTCTAGCAGCATGCCTTTAAGGAAGCTAACACAAGCTTGGTATTGTCCTCAGAAACCGTGTATATATGGACTCAGTGACAGTTAATAACAACAACAACATTGTCATTGTATGGGTGAGGAAACAGAGAGGTCAGGTAACCTTTGCTTGATTGTCCATGATCAAGTCCCAGGCTGTAGTTTTTATACCTCACACAATCAAGTAGTGACCCTTTCTTTTATCTTTTTATTTTTTCATTAAAAAAGATTGTTTTGTTTTGTTTTTCCTAACTAATTATGTCTGACTGAATTAAATTTATAGTCCTAGAAACATGTAAATATTTAAATTGGTGTTTTAGAATATTTACTTTGGCATAATCAGCAGGCCTACTTTAAATTCTGACTTCACCTTGTATTGCTTGTGTGACCTCTGGCCAGTTGAATCACCTTTGTTCCAGCAATGTCCCTCCCACACAGGGTACTGACCTTATACATTAAGTTTAGTTGTTAAGTGCTATGGAGTTGTATAGAAACCCTGTATAGGGTTTCCAAGGAGCGACTGGTCAGCTTGAACCGCCGACCTTGTAGTTCTAACTGACTTTGCAGTCCAGCGCATTAACCCCCAGTGCCACAGCAGGGCTCCATACATTAAGTAAGATCGTATAAAAGAGTTGGTGGGCAGTATGTGCCACAGGGCAGGCCCTGAATGAATTCTAGAGCCTCAAATCCTGAGAAGTCTGTTTCCGTCCATTTTCCTTAGAGACATGCGCTGGAACAAGGGAACCATTTTAAAAGCCTCTGTGGACTACATTCGAAAGCTGCAACGGGAACAGCAGCGTGCGAAGGAACTGGAAAACCGACAGAAGAAACTGGAACACGCCAACCGGCATTTACTGCTGAGGATTCAGGTCTGGGCCATGTGCTGGGTAGGGTTTACTACGTGTTGTTGTTGCTAGTTGCCAATGAGTCACGGCATCCTTGAGTACAACAGAGCCAATCATTGCCAACTCCTCTGTCATCTTCATGGTGTGCCATTGCTGTGGTCACAGGGGGCTCATCTTCCTGCGCTGTGTCAGACAGTATTCTATTGTGATCCTTAGGGTCTTCATGAACTAATTTTGGGAAATAGATCGCCAGACCTTTCTTCCTAGTTTGTCTTAGTGTTCACAGTCCACCTTAACAGGTTTGAAATACTGGTGGCTTTGTTTCCAGTATCACAGTATAAGAAATGTCTACTACCTGTTACTGTCTTCAAAAGAGCAGAAAGAAGAGTATCAGGAGCTTTTCAGGTTCCTAATACTTGTTAAATACAAAGATGCGATGGTATTTTGAAGATGGAAGGGGATTGAGGGGTCATTCATGATCAAAGCCCATGTTTATAGGGAGCTTGAGGACATCTAGAGGTGATGCCGTTGAATTATGATGCTGGCAAAGAATATTGAATATGCTGGAGAATGCCAGAGGATGTATTAATGTGTCTTGGAAGAAGTGAAGGCAGTGTGCTCCTTAGAAAAGGGGATGGTGAATTTTGGTTTCCAGGAGGAGTCACTCCCTGGAGAAGGACAGCCCAGCCACCCAAGTGGAGGATCTGGGAAAAAGAGGAAGACTCTTAGCCAGATGGATTAGCATAGTGTCTGTACACCACCAGCTCTGAGGCGGGAACAGGAGCTTTATTATATTGTATGTATAGTGGTAGCTATGAGTCAAAACTGAATTGATGGTGCCTAGCAACAACAGAATCTTATAATAAGCATTGTTGTTGTTGTTGTTGTTAAGCACCGTCCAGTCTATTCCAACCCATAGTGACCCTGTATAGGGTTTCCAAGGAGCAGCTGGTGAGCTTGAACCACTGACCTTGCAGTTCAAACAATTTTGAAGTCTGATGCGTTAACACACAGCGCCACACCAGGACTCCATAATAGCATTATTATCCTCAAAAATAGTTTTGAAGGATAACATCATAAGTATCTTTCACTTCAGTTAAACACATTTGAGGGTAGAGGGGAGAGAAATAATAATTTTTATGAAGTGTACAATTCATCCATCATTCCATTCAGTGAATGTGTTCCCTAATCGTGTTGTTCCAGACACTGAATTTCTTTAACAGGATAATTCATGTATAGTCTTCTTCATGTTCCACGACACTGTTCACAATGCTGAGGTTACACCTCTCCTCACACTGTGGGTCAGTAAGTGTGTGTCAGAGTGGATTGTGCCGTGTAGGTATCATGGCTGGTTTTTCACTAAGAGATTGCCAAGCCTTACGTCTGAGGTAGCTCTGGGTGGACTCGAGCCTTATGGTATTTACTGTTTGCCCCACCCAGGGACTTGTTTCCACCTCTCCCCTTTCTGGGCTTTTGTTGTTTGTTTGATATTATATCTCTTCAATGACTTGTTACTGTTGTTCGTTGCCTGTGACTAGGCTGCAGCTGGTGGCAGCCATGTTTAGAACAGAAACAAACTTAGCCTGGCTTTGTGCACTTGGTGTGGTTGAGTCCACTGTTGTAATCACTGTGTGTTCTCAGTGCCTTCCAACCTAGAGGGCTCAACTTCCAGCGCTTTATCCGATGATACGCTCTGGTGATCCGTAAAATAGATCACCAAGACTGTCTTCCTAGTCTGTCTTTGGAAGATCTTCTGAAACCTATCCTCCGTATATAACCATTGCTGACATTTGAAGTACTAGTAACATAGCTTCCAGCATTGTGGCGGGTAAAGCTCCACATACCTCAAGCTGATAGGTGAGTGTTGTTGTTGTTATTGTTAAGTGCTGTCAAGTTGGTTCTGGATTACAGTGACCCTATAGAGAGTTTCCAAGGAGTGACTGGTGAATTTGAACTGCTGACCTTGCAGTTCCCAGCCCAGTGTTGCTCCTATACTCAGATAGGTGGGTGGTGGCTTCAGTAAGTTTATTACTTTTGTTAAGTGCCACCAAGTCAGTTTCAACTCATAGCATGTATAGGGTTTCCAAGACTAAATCTTTCTGGGAGTAGACAGCCTCATTTGTGAGTGACAGTTGGTCTTGAACCACCAGTTTTAGAGTTCACAGTCCAGTGTTTATGCTACAGAACCACCACTATCCCACTTTAAGAAGCAGCCATAATATGTTGTTATTGTCATTAAGTGCCATCAAGTCAGTTCCAACCCATAGAGACCCTGTATAGGGTAACCAAAGAGCGTTTGGTGACCTTGAACCACTGACCTTGTGGCTCAAACTGACTTTGCAGTGTACCACATTAACCCACAGTGCCACTCCAGGACTTCCATTTATACCCATTTATAAAAGCTAGTATACCCACTTCAGAAGCAGCTTGTGCTAAGGGAGTATTTCTTTTGTTATTGTTGTTAAGTACCGTCTAGTTGATTCCAACCCATAGTGACCCTGTATAGGGTTTCCAAGGAGCTGACCTTGCAGTTGAGATGACTTTGCAGTCTGATGCATTAGCCCACAGTGCCACGCCCGATAAGCATTAACGTGTAGCTTCTACTTTGAAAGAAAACTGAGGTCATGGTTTGTTTTGTTTTAAGGTTGCAGGAATGTATATTGATATGAAATAGGGATATTGTGAAATTGGTGAACTGGAGATTCCAGAATGACGATGTCTTGGTTTTCTTCCAGCGTTGGAGTCAGGCAGCCATTAACACTTTTGCATATCACAGAAAACATTATTAATTAGGAAGGCTCTGCTGTGGTGCCATCAGCCAGAGTTCTCAAAATGCAATAGATCACATTATTTAGAAATCTAAGTAATGCTTTAATCAACTGATAAACATTTTTAATTAAACAACAAAGGATTAGAATAGAATGCTGGCCGTTCTTAATCCAAGTTTATAAGAACACAAACTGCTTGCATGGTGGGGGAGGGTGCGGTTCTTATTAACATAGGGGTGTAGATTTACAAGGCTGCATGCATGTTTTCAGCTTGGGCCTAAGGGCTTTTGTTCATTTGTACTCTAACTGATGCATGTAAAAATGTTACAGAAGAAAGAACCTAAAGCCTGAATATCAGTGGAATTGCCAGGTTATTACGTAGCCCAGGGCTTTAAAACCATGCCTGGAGAGAGTTGTTTCTGGAGGTTGTGTGAAGGAGTATACAGATGCATGGGTGACTTCCCAGGTACCCATTTATTCTTGTAGTGTTTCCAGAGATGGATATGCCAGGTCAAATCACCTTTAATACAGGTGGAACTGGACTTGGCAGGAACACCTTATTTCTAGACTTGTAGGCAAAGGTTGGAGAGTCCCTTTTCCTCTCTTATAATGGGCAACTAGCTTCAAACTTGTGTTCTATTATGATTGTCCCTTTTTTCATAGTGTCGTAAACCATAGAGGCTCCATGGTATAGAGAGTCTAAACATAAAGTTCACCAGGGAGTGACCTGAGTGGTTCATTTAAGAAGTGTCCATGGTCCTCAGAAAGAGAAAATGGGAAGAACTTGGTTGGAAGGCATTTTAGAACAGGGATGGAGAAACCCTCCCTCTGGAAAGACTGAATAAAATGGAGAGCAGGAATATGTCTTACAGATGAGAACTTGCTGATGAGAACTTGTTAGTGGAATAAAAACAAAACAATTCCCTTTACCGTGTTTGTTGTTAAGTGCCGTCGAGTTGGTTCCAACCCATAGCAACCTTGTATAGGGTTTTCGAGGAGCGTCTGGTAAGCTTGAACTGCCAACCTTGTGGTTCAAACCAACTTTGCAGTCCTGGGCATTAACGCACAGCATCACACCAGGACTCTGTGATGAGGTGAATTAAATTGTGTCTCACAAACGTAGTGAACTTGAATAGACCTTTGCAGCATTTGTTACATTCGTTACTAGCTACACCAGAGAGTCCCATGTTGCTTAGTTGATGGTGTATTTGGTGTCTTTTTAACTGCACAGCCAAAAGAAACATCTACCATTTCTCTGTTGTTGTTGTTGTTGTTATGTGCCGTGGAGTCGGTTCCGACTCATAGCGACCCTGCACAGGGTTTCCTGTTAAGTCCCAACAATTAGTTATGCCCTGGACTGCAACAACAATCACTTAGTAGCCATTTGGAAAGATTTTTTTGTTGTTGTTAAGCGCTTTCAAGTCAATTCTGACTCATTGCGACCCTGTATAGAATTTCCGAGGAGCAGCTGGTAGGTTTGAACTTCCGACCTTGTGGTTTGTAGTCCAGTGCTAATCCTACAGCACCACACCAGAAATCCATTTGGAAAGATAAAACACGTTTTTCTTTCAAGTCTGTGTTTTATCTTTCCAAATGGCTACTAAGTGAATGTTGGTTTCGTTGTTAAGTGCCACCGGTATGATCCTGTGTAGGGTTTCCAAGGAGCAACTGGTGAGTTTGAACCATCGACCTTGCAGTTCAAACCGACTTTGTAATGCAGCACATCAGCTCGCACACCACAGTCACCCCAGTTACTGAGGGGACGTTTGTGTCTGTTAAGCACTGCAAAACTTTCCAAACCTTGGCATCAGGTTGGACACCCACACCCTCATTTGTAAATTTTCCCTTGATATTCATATGGTACTTCCTTTTAATAACAGCAAACTTCAAAAGTGCAGCTTTGCTATTGAGAAGAATGTAGCACAGTCTACTGCTGAAACTGAATGATCTTGAGCTAAGTAGCTGTCACATGGTATTGCTGTGTTTCCCTTGAAATTGTAAATTATCAGTTAATTGCAAAACCCCTGGGAGCTTTCAGTGTAAGGTTTGAGGACCAGAGAACTATATTATCTAATAGTTTCCTTGAATGAAGCTCACTTTCAAAATTTTTCTTTTCCAATTTTTGTAATGTAAACTCCTTGTGAATATTTAGATTTTGTCTCTTTTGTTTTTCAAATACATCATGATATCAGTATGCCATTTCGGAAATCCTTCCACACACTGCTCATGGAAGCCTTCCGTGGTCTCATTGTCTACTCCAGGGGGGTTTCTGGGTTGTGATCTTCACAGAAGTAGACCACCAGACCTTTCTTCCGCAGCACTGAGGGTGTCCATGACATACTTGAGGAGTGCACAAGTTACCGATTTCAAAGAGCAGAAAGTTTTTATTTTGAAAACCGTTTTGCCCCTCCAAATGTCTGATTTTCACTTTTATTCTAGGAACTTGAAATGCAAGCTCGAGCCCATGGGCTTTCCCTTATCCCATCCATGGGTCTCTGCTCCCCAGATTTGATGAATCGAGTCATCAAGCAAGAACCAGTCCTTGGAAACTGTAACCAAGACCCGCATCAGCATCACACAGACTTAACTTGCACAACCACCTTGGATCTCACAGATGGTACCATAACCTTCAGTAACAACCTTGGAGCCGGGACTGAGAGCAACCAAGCCTACAGCGTCCCTGGAAAAATGGGATCCAAACTGGAAGACATTCTGATGGACGATACCCTTTCTCCTGTTGCCGTAACTGATCCACTTCTGTCCTCAGCATCGCCGGGAGCTTCCAAAACTAGCAGCCGGAGGAGTAGTATGAGCATGGAAGAGACCGAGCATGCTTGTTAGCAAATCCTACCTGCTCTGCATTCTCACAAACTGCTCCCTTTCTTGATTCATAGTTTTAATAATTTACTCAAATGGGGTTCTCTTGATAATTTTCCTTTAATATGAATTTTTTTTCATGCTTTATCAATAGCCCAGGATATATTTTATTTTTAGAATTTTGTGAAACAGACTTGTATATTCTATTTTACAACTACAAATGCCTCCAAAGTATTGTACAGTAAGCGTACAGTATCTGTGAACTGAATTCACCACGGACTTTAGCTTTCTGAGCAAGAGGACTTTGCGTCAGATAAATGTCTGTCCATTTTTATTCAGGGGAATCTTGGTTTGAGATTTTATGCCTGTGACTTCCTTGAAAATTAAAAGTAAAGTTTAATAATTGAAAGAATGTAAAGCAACCAAAAAAAAAAAAGAGAGAGAGAGAGAGAGAAAGAAAAGAAATCTATATTAACTTGGTTCCATTTTGTAAATGTTATTGATCCATTGGTACTGCCTTAAAGATACAGTACCCTTCGATCATTGTTTAGTCTTATATATTCTAAACTATTTAAAGAAATACTATATTCTGTAAAAGATGAAAAAAGTAAGTGCAGCCATTTTCATGAGGATTGTCTGGTAGGAAATATAAGTGCAGGGGTTGCTGAAGAAAAGTAGAAGTGGGCTCTGAGAGCGAGTCCAAGCCCAGTCTTGTCCTGTGTGTCCATGCCATCTGTTTCCATTTCCTCATCAATGAGTACAATTCAATTTTTCATGAAACATGTTTTCTTTTGAAATGGAAATGAATGTCCTCTTAAAGTAAAAATATTGAGGAGCACTGAAAATCGATTTTAAAGTTTTTTTTTTTCCTTATTTTTTTGCTTCTGATAAGAAAACCAAACTGGGCACATTTCTAATTGGCTTTACAATTTCTATTTTTAAGTTATGTTTTACTGTTCATCTGATTTGTACAGATTCTTTATTATCATCATTCTTTTCCACATGTTTGTATTGATTTTTGTAAGAGTATGCATCTTAAACTGAGGTGTTTTCAATATTTTTACAGCTCACGGTGGTTTTCCTTATCCTTGGTACAACACATCACAGAAGACATTTATGCCAGGTCTGTGTTTAAGGAGAGCTTTTGCGCATATTTTGTATATTACAGCCTCACTCAGAACTAACTGTTTTTTCACACATTTAAGGAGTAGTATTAATAGGTTAAAGCCAAACTTTCTAGAGAAAATAAACTTACATATTTATTTTAAGTGATATAAAAATAGCAATATTCTTGGAGACTGATAACTATAGCTTTAGTACGCCCATCACGGTCATTTAAATTGGGATTTATTTCAGTACACTTGCTGAAATTTTTTTTTTTTTTGAGAAATACTGTATTGGCAAGTTACTGTTACTTGATAACAATGTTTTAACAAACAGCAATGTTGTAAAGTTAGATTCAGTGCATTATCTACTTGTGTAGTCCTATGCAATAACAGTAGTGTTACATGTATTCTATGAGGCCTAGGCTGTTTTCTTCAGATGATAATATGGAGTTCTGAGCCAGGCTGCTGAATGGAGCTTCTAAGTTGCAGCCTCCAATTGAAGAGTAAGTGGTATACAGTATATCCATTCAGAATGAAGTGCCTTAAATATAGCAGTAGTCTTTGAGGGGGGGGGCAGCACTGACTGAAATATAATTTAAGAGAAAGTTTCATGATGGTCTCTGTAGTCAAGAGGAACATGTAGCGTGGTGCCTATGTAGACAATATAAGAGCTTCCAATTTTCCTTCCGATGTTTTTAATATTAAATATATTTTAGTGACAAGTGTGCCAACTTCATTCATCAGGAAACCTTATTCAGGAGGGGATTTTTTTGTTATTTTTTTAAGTGTTTAAATGTCAAATGTGAATTGATGTTTGGTGATGCAGAGTTGAGAAAGGAGGCGTGATTGTCAGATGTTTGAACGAATGACTTTGTGAAAATAATCTATTGCATAGTTCCCATGCGTACTGGGCAATGAGAATCCTTGGAAATGTTGATGTTGCTATCAGTTTGATAGCTTTATTACTTAAGGGGGGAGGGGAAATACGTTCCCATTCTTTCAACCCCCTTAATTGTATAGCTCTTTTTATTAGAATAGTGATGCAAATCTGCATGAACAGCTAATTGTACCATAGTGTTCATTGATACAATCATTGCATTGTCTCTTTTTCTCTTCATATTTATATGTGGGGGGGGGGCTGGGGGCTGAAGGTGAAGATTGCAATGCTATGATGCTAGTTTTCCTTAGCTGATTTTGAAGGATTTTTAAAAACAAGAGCCGGATTGAGTAACAAAGAATTACAGCCAGGTTTAGGCAACCTGACAGGAAGCTTTGTTCAGAGAAAGTATGGCATCTTGTACCACTTCCCCGAGTCTGGCAACTCCTGAGCTTGCGACCACCTGTTTCCCTGTCCCCTTGTTCTTAGAAGACAATTTCTGGGTGTGGCAGGTGAGCCAGACCAGGAGACTACTGCAGCCTTAGGGGTGGTTTTATTTATTTCTTTTTTGCCAAATCGTGTGTGGATATGTTGTAGGGGCTACTTAAGCTCAGAGGAGGTGGTTTGGGCATGCTATTTTGTATAAAGAGAACGACCCACACCCCCATCTCTAGCGTGCCGAATTGTGATTGAGGTCGGGCCTCCAGACGGAGTGTCCAAAATGCCAAAATTGTCCACCTGCCTCTGGGTAAGGCACTGGAAATACCAAACACTTCTGACTTTGCCAAAAAAACAAACAAACCATACAACCAACATGGTCATACATAGGATGACATGGTTCTTTCTGGTTGTTTTTTAAATAATAAAGCAATAAGAACAAATAAAATACATAAGAAGTTAAAAGACATAAAGCAAAAGCACAAAGGAATGTACTTATTGTTTGTGGAAAATGCACTGGGGAAAAGTTGATATTGAGAACAGTGTAAAAGAAAACTATTTCTTGAATAAAATGACAAATGACTGTCTCTTGTGGACGCTTGGTACTGTAATGTTAATAATAGTCCCCTGCTGTTGGATGCAGCAGTTATTTCTGTATGGTTCGTAGCACTGTATGTTACAGATCGCTACTAATATATCCAATGAAATACTCAAACTTTTGTTCTTGATAGCCTCATTAAAGCATTTGGTTTTTCACATAGTGGTTCCAATTGTGTTTAATGCCAACTTTAAATGTGTTTTGCCTTATCAAAAAAAAAAAAGTAGCCTTTTTCTTTCATTTAATGAATGACAAATTATATCAGAAATTTTTAAAAAGCTGGTAAGTATTCTTTTTGTATGTTGTTTTAAGTATCACTCTGAAATATTACTTTTTAATTTTAAATATTTTCAATTGCTTTATGACTTGCCATCAAATGAACTATCATTATGCAGGAATATTTTTCCCTTCTGAATTTAGGAAGATTTTTAAGCCCTCATTGTTAAGAATTTGTTTTTGATACAGGAGTTTTATCTAAAAGGTTCCAGTGAGAGATGGCTTTATATTAAGCGAAATTGTCAGAAAAACCCTTGCATATTTACAGCAAAGATTCTGAGTTTTTAAAATAATAAATTTACAATAATGAAAGCTTAATATACCAAGGCTGCCAACTCCTGTTTTTCCTTTTTTCTTTTTTTCCCCTAATACAGTACTTAAGAATCATTTGATAAATGTTGGATGTGAATTGGGAAGTGTCAGACAAAACATGTCTTTATTCCCTAGTTAGACCTTAAACTTCTGCCCTTTTAAAACATTCTGTTCTAACCTCTGGAGAACCAGCAAAAAACTTCCTGTAACACTTCTCATCTGATTGTCAGCTTATTTCTTAGATATTCTTCCTTTTTTTTTCTCTTAAATTATAACATACAATTATCGAAGCTTTTCCTTTTCTGAGATATTTGAATTATTTATAATTTCCATAAAAATGTGACTGTGTAAGGCCTGGAAACATATGGGAAGCATTAAGGTTTCTTACTCAAAAAAGGAGATTTTTCGGGATGAAATCAAAAGCAGGTTAAGTTGAAAGCTAGCACTGTTCGTCTCATTTAGCGTGCAACAGTTCCTTCTAGTTATTTCTAAATAATAAAGGAACGAGAAATGCAATGCCCAGGCTGTTTCAGCCCTGTCATTTGCTTCTTATTGTATACTTCAAAGTCTATAAGAATCCTTAATCTCTAGCTCCCTTCTGAAATTGTGATATGCCAGCACTACCTGAACGTCTGCTCTTCCCCTACTTTAATGAGTTTATTTCACATCCACGTATTTACATTTTCTTAACTTTTTTTTTTTACTAAGCTAACCCCAATTTTTAAAAAGGCAAATTCTGTCTATGAAATGACAAGACATGGTTCTCCTGTAATCTTCCTGGGTTAGAATGTTAATCTCTGCCTGTTCCGAGCAATGTGATTTTGGGCAGGTTACTTAATCTCTCTGTGATTTCATTCTCTTTAATTGCACTGGAGATAATAGTAGCTACCACATAGGTACGCAAGGAGCCCTGTAGCATAGTGGGTTACATGTTGGGCTGCTAACCACAAGGTCAGAAGTTCGAATCTACTAAGTACTCCATGAGAGAAAGATGAGACCTTCTGCTCCTGTAAAGACTTGCAGCTTCAGAAACCCTCTACAGGGTCATTAAGAATAAAAATCAACTCCATGGCGCATAAGCACTACCACATAGCTGGTAAATACACACAATACAAACATTTGTCATTCCCACATTTTCATACATACAGTTTAATGAGTCCATTGATGTATCTACCATGTTCCTCAGCTACTAGCACAGTCTGTTTCCAGAATTAGTGAGTCCATTGATGTATCTACCATGTTCCTCAGCTACTAGCACAGTCTGTTTCCAGATGTTCTCATCATCACTACGGCTGGAGCTCAGTGTCACTTAAACACGTAATCATCTTCTGAAGACCATTCGAATTATTTGTGCCCGGCACATGGTGGCAGTTCATCGTCTTCATTAACAAAATAGAAAGTACTCTGCATGCCGCCTAAAATCATCATATGTGCTGTTGTTGTCATCCCAGGACTTCATTGTATGTATTGTTGTTGTTGTTAGGTGCCATCGAGTCAGTACTGACCCATAGCGACCTTATGCACAACAGAACGAAACACCGCCCAATCCTGGGCCTACCTCACTATTGTTGCCATGCTTGAGCCCATCGATGCTGCCACCTGGCCAATCCATCTCATTGGGGGTCTTCCTCTTTTTCTCTGACCCTCCACCTTACCAAACATGATATCCTTCTCCAGCGATTGTTCCCGCCTGACAATA